TATGTAACTACAAGTCACAGGACTAAAACCCCGCTACATCGTGTGACAAGAGTTCACGCAACTACGCACGTAGAATCTCATAACAGCTAGTCACACAAGTAAAATCATTAACATTGCGTAAAAACTATAGTCACATAACAAAATTCCACAACATCTAGTCAGGGGATTAAAATATCGTAATGATAGTCACGTGGCTAAAATCTCGTAACTAGCCACGTTAGTTAGAAAAAAACAAGGAGAGCCCTTTTAGGTCACAAAACGCGTTGAACTCCGCCATTACGGCACAATTTAGAAAAATTATCGCACTTACGTGTTTGTTGACTCGTCCACAACTGCCACAGCTTATCTAAACTTCAACATCTGTAGGGTTTGGGGAACCTTGGAAGACCACTACAAAATCATTAAAAATTATTCTCTACTCACAGTCGCCATCTTTGGCACAGTTTATGGCATCCAGCAGTACGTCTGTTCACGAGGTGTCATGAGTAAATAACTCTCGATTGGTCCATAGACCTGGAATATCTGTGGCTCGTTGTGCCCTAACGTGGGAGACGCCTTTGTCCCGCAGTAGGCGTAGTCAGGCTGCTGCTGCGGCCGACGATGATGATGACGATGGTTGTATGAATGAATGAATGATTCCCGACCACGTTTGGTAATGGGGAATGCAGTTGTCGACAAGATGCCCATGGTTTGTATCATGGGAGAGAGGGCGAGCACAGCGGACGCCTTCCCGGATGACGGCCTCTGCGACTACATCTTCTTCGACTCCCTCTACAAGGACGGCCGCAACATGCTATCGCGACAGGCAACCTTCAGCAAGAGCCTGAGCAACTTCATCAACAACCACCCTGTTTACCAAAGCACGCACCTGGGAGTTGGCTTCTCCTTCAAGTGAGTTGGCGTTCGTGCAGAGTAGTAGTAGGCAGCTTGCAATATGGCAGGCTTGTACGTAACGCGTTACAAGTGGCCGATTACTTGTAATCAATTACATGTTGGTGAATTTTTGTAATACAATCGATTACTTTTTCAGAACCTCATAGCTCTGCGTAACTCAATTACATATACGTGTAATAGTCCACTGGTAATCAATTACTTTTTTTTTTTGGTCTGACAATATCTCGGCTCGTGTCGTCGCACGTCACTACATGTAGCTACCTGCCGTCGGCGGAAGAAGACTTGAAGATTAAAGAGCCAAGTCCACTGCAACCTCTCTGGGACAAGGGAATCTTCAGTGTCGGGATTTTTGACCCTCCTTCCAATTCGCCGTACAATCAAACAAGAGCTGCAATCGTCACCCTCAAGGTATTTTCTTCGATTTGATGCCATCGCCTTAAAATTGCTTCACTTCACCAGTAACAATAATTATTTGCAGCTTCGCAAGCTTGGAGGAAGGGTGGCCGAGCAGCCTTCTTTCTTGCTCTTTATTTTAACACAAAAGTACTTTATGCCGGAACCCACCAAGGCTTCAGTGACGTATTACCGTCACGAAAAAAAAAATATATACGCAGGCTCAGATGGCAAAGAAAAAACAGTTCAATTAACCGGAACCCAACGCACGACCTTTCGGTCTGTGACATTAGATGCCCAGTATGCAATCTACTGTGCCATGGTCGCATACACTGAAGGCTTTGCCAACACGCCTATTAAATTTTGCACTTGCCTTACAGTGACCTTGGTAAAGCGGAGTAATGCACCATGACCATGACATCCAAAAAGGTTCAGTAGAATTAAAGGTATAATAGTCTTTAAGGTGCCAAAGTTCCAATGTAGTGGCCAATGTAGCATGTTTAGGTATGACGTATTGCGTACATTGCAAGCGCAGTATTGTTTGCAGGTTTCCGCTTTACAAAGATATGGTCATACGAGGCCGTAAGAGTGCGCAATATTTGGTCCGAAAATCCCAATTTTTCGCATCCTGCATCACATTGCCAGACGTGTGGCTGCGCAGTTTTTGCCTATGCAGCTCTATTGTCAAAACGTAATTACCAGGCAACTGCACATGTGATAGATGCAATCCACAGTAACCCATCAAGTGAGGCATGCGTAAGACAAGCACCCTTGTCTCTTACGGACCAAAGGCTTCCCAATATGCTCAGCACGTGCGCTGTAGTTGATATACGCGATGTTAATTCCGCGACCATTTTAAAACTTCTACACAAAGGCAATGCGTTTTATTGCGTTCCTCTAACTTTCATGTGTTTTAAAGTGATATCTTTTTTTCATTTGTAAGTCAACAATCGTACACGTCCCTCCTGTTTTATACGGTCTTGGTCCTTTTCGCGCTGTACCGAAACCGTTCTTTCAAGTTCCTTAAAGCTCTCAAGTAGGCGTATTTCGCTCGCTTCCAGCATCACGCCATGCCTGCGAGAATCCGCCGGGCATTTCGTTTTTTTTTTTTTCGCAGAACATAGACGACCTGCTCCAGATGCCGAAACAGCTGGGGCACCACGCGGTCACTGCACTTGCTGCTCCTGATCCAGAGTTGGACTGGAGCTTGCAATACGCCATCGACTTCAGGTGGGTGAACGCCTTTTTTTTTTTTTTTTTTTACAGTGAAGGTGTTCAACTCCAACCAGTGCTGAGCAGTATCGCTATGTTGAAGCGCATCACGTTAGCACCTTAGATACTTTTGAGTATAGGTAGTTATGCATCGAGTTACATTTGGAAAACGTTGCTTCAGTAAACAGCGCGAAAACGGCCCTGATGCGGAGGAAAAGAAAGCACAAGCACTGAAATTGCAGTATCATGTGTAACTGGCCCTTTAGGACACCGTTGAAAAATGTATGTCAATCTCGCTAGTCAGAACACCTTTGTGAGACGTCCATTACATCGTGATACTGCGCGGAACACAGTTATCTCCTCACTGAAGATAATGAGCTCACTTAAGACGTTCTTTTGTGCTAAGGGGGGCTTCTTTGTGCTGAGTCAAGCAAATTCACAGCGCTGGTGGGTGATACAGGCGGTGCTGTAAAAGGTTTGCAATATACAAGATGGAAACCTTCCAATGGACACTTGTGGTAAAGCGCCCGATAGCGCTCATATTGGCATCACGGAAGTCGTGTTGTTGGCCTTTATCGACAAAAAGGTGGCTGCCTTTGAACGCTGCAAGCGAACATTAACCGAGATTAGAGTGGAACGACTTGCGGTGAAGTGCATTTTCTTGTAGGACTTTCACATACTCCCGTCACATGGAGCAAAACGCTCACTTTTCTATTGCACCGTCTAATATGTATGCACCTTGGTATACATCAACACTGATTACTGCTGGCGCATTTCCATGTCGATGACTTACGCCCGTGACCGCGATCGTGGTAGTGGTGGTAGTTAACATATATACTCCTGGATACAGCGTATGGCGGGTCCCGCGCAAACATGGCGCGTATTAAGCACTGGTTCTCGATTTGCACTCCTTCAAAGCGCCATCATTTTAGAGTAGAAACGGTGAGGTGTGCGCACCCCATTAATAGGGTAACTCATTCCTCTGTTCATGCGTTTACTATTAGCCTTTCAGGAACACGAGAGACTGGTCGTAGCTTGAGCCCTAAACACGCGAAGGCGTTCCACTTCCCGCTGGGGCTTCACTGGCGGAGGTGTGAAAAATATGAAGTGCTTTTGTACAACCTCGTGTATGTAGCGCAGTAGGTAGGGTGCCCCTACGTATAACTGTGCAAAAAGAGGTCATAGGTTCGACACCCAGGTCACCTGTATAAAGGAAACGTTTTCTTAGAACAACAGGCATATCAGCCATAACTCATGTTTCTTTTTAGGACAGGGCGGTGAAACGCGATACCCAAGAACGAAAACACCAGAAACGCCTACTAGAAATTGAAAAAGCACACACCAGTTGTTGTTTTTTATTTCTTTTTCAAGCTGCTTTGCTTCTCTTCGATTGTTAGTCGGCGTTTGTGGTGCCCAGACTTCTTTCTTGTGTTCATGTTTACAGGCCCTCCAAGCTTCTGATTCTTCTCTGTAATCTTTTAAAGACGATAGTCTTTCTTGGGAACCTTCGACGCAAAATTTTGGTCGGTCTGTCTGTACATTTGTCTGTTTGTCCGCCCTTAGCGGTATCGGGTACTCTAAACGGCACCAGCCGATACCCCAAACGACCAACCCCATCTGCAGCGCGCACCGATGTTGCTCAAACTTTAGCGTTCATACTTGTGCGAATGTCGATTAACAAGCAATTATTGCGCATATCTGAGGCACCATAACAACACGTACATGATCTGCATGTGCGTCTTTTACTACAAAAGGCATACATAAGTAATTCTAAGGACTGTAGCGTTTATCACGCTGCGCTGACCATGCAACGCTTGCACGAAAAGGCGAGTGTTTCCAACGCTTTGCTAAGACAACATGGTGGTGGCACCTACCCGTCACCTTGCGACACCTTATCACCTCTGAGACGGGCGCGCACGCTCGTCTCAGACGCGCAACGTTTTCCAAGAAAACTGCCAGATGGCACTCAAGTCTCACGTGTGACGTGACTTGATGCGCTCGTTCGCCTCCGCTGCACGCACGAGGCATTCTAACACGTTGTTTACAGAATACCATTCTCCGATTTTCTGGCGTATAACATCAAAATAATGTTTTGTTCACTGTCTCCACGTGCAAGACTATCATCTTTCGACGACATTTGCAGATTAACATGCCGATACGGGGCCACTTTTTTTGTGTGTGCACATTACCAGCGTCATTTTCGTGAAGGAAATGACGTCACTGAAGTATTGGTGGGCTTCGGTATAAAACACTTTCCTGTTTTTTTTTTCATTGCCTCGTCCTTTCTCAATGTTACGTAGTTTGCGAGTTAGTGATATAGTTTGAGTGTGATTATCATTTTGTTATATTGAGTTTGTACCTTGCATAAATTATGCATACCAGTCGATGTACACTAACGAACGGATCGTTTTTGCTCCTATCTCGAAAACAGTAACATCGGCTTCTCACCGTACATATTCATAGTCATCGGCCACTATCCATACGGCGACAACACGGTCAGGAACTGCGCCGTCATGCCTCCGACTCGTCATCCCCTTGACATTCCTGGGGAAGATATCGCTCAGGAATACAACTACGATCTGGTAGGCACCAATTTCCTTTTTTTATAAGCGCAATGAGAAACTGAACGTAACCAAGATCGTCATTTTCAATACCAGTTGCGGCTTCTTTGTGCATGGGCTTTGAATAAGAAAAAAGAAGAAGAAAGTGCCACGTCGTAACTGTCTCTCACGCATAGGAGGTCACCTCAGCAACATTACAGAGGGAAGGAGATAATGATAAAGAAAAGTAGGAAAGGGCTAAAAATAAGAGGAGATAGAAAAAAAATAAATTGGGGATCGTTTGGTCCGCCTCTCACGGCATGCGCCCGAACCAAAGCGCAGCCGACGTGCAGCCGACTTGGAAAGCCGCCTAGAAAGCCAAAGCAAGATCGATGCGCACAGTGTCTTACGGGCAGAAGAAGGAGATAGAGGACTTCGAAACTCGCGTAGTAAGTACAGTTGACCCCAATAGCAGCGCCGCTTCAGATGGCTAATCCGAAGGTGCGATGGCTTCGTGAGCGAGCAAGGGTGCAACACGCAATCAGTGCATCGGCGAGTCAGCTGGCAGGGTCAAGAGCACAGCACGAACTGCCGCAGAGAGTGCGGCTTAGCTACCGGGAAAAAGACTCGTCCCGTATCTTCCCGCGAACTTTCTTGTAGCCTAATATTAACTAAGTGAACTTACCAAAATGCCGAGCACTTATGGGGCCCGCACTGTTGTTGCGTGTAATGTCACCTTATGGCAGATGCTGTAATCGCCTGTAATTTCACGCAAACAAGACCGTGAATAGCATACCCATGTGTGATATAGAATTGCATAGAAAAGAAGCCGGAGATGAAAGTGAGTGTGAGGTAAGGGGGAAAAAAAGGTGAAATGGATAGTGCATAGCGTGGCCGTGTATAGTATAAGATAGAAAATAGGCACGGTGCCGTGCTCCGCACCGGGCTGCAGAAATTACGTGCCTTTCTCCTCTTCTAACCACTATTACCACGACCAATGGTAAAGAGACTTCCCTTTACCACCAATGGGTGGAAAAGGGAAGTCACATTGACGAGGAAGGGTGACAGAAGGTGACAGTTAAAACTTAGTATCACCGCGTGTAGTAGAGTACAGCAAGGGGGCTTGAAAAGAAAGTTAGCGTGAGGAGTAGCAATAGCAAAATAGGGAGGCTGAAGAGTAGCACAGCAGTGTGTAGTATAACAAAAGTGTAGGAAAAGAAGTGAGAGTAAGGAGAACAGAGGTGATGATGAAGGACAGTGGGAGGGTAAGGCACAGTATTGGCGTGTAAGGAAGGACAAGATAGAGAAAGGAAAACGAAGGCGAAGAGTAGTGTGTGAGGGTGAGAGGGGAAAAAGGATGTGAGAGTGCCACTCCATCACGAATGAGGAGGGTTTCCTTTCTCGCCATGGACGCTGAGCAGGCTGCCCGTTGCCCGCAAACGCCAACATTGCCGAACGTCCGGCGGATCCCTTCTAGCGCATGCGCGATTTTCGTCTGAGGCATTCTTCGTGCACGTTACATTCAGCTGCAGGCTGGAGTGACATTCCGTATAAGAACTGAGACCCTGTCGTCGGTGTAGTTATTAGGGTGCTTAAACAGTGATGGTAACATCGCTAGTAAGTACGTAAGTAGCATACCGTCATGTGTTCAGCGCTCAACTTCTTTCATATTTTCGGCCGTGTGAGTTGCTTATTGCGGGCGGCAACTCGATGAGATTATCATTTGGGTTAATGCAGATCTCCCAGACTGATGAAGGTACGAGACGATGACGCTGGTGCTTACTATACGGACTTGCCAACACTGCTAAAACCTCTGTTCATCGACAAGTGTCCGCTCTGCACCTCGCAATAGTGAGATCATGTATACATAAAAGTTGCGAATATGATGACGGACAAGTCAAACACATGCAGCGTGCCATTTGCAAGAATGTTTATTCCAGCAAAAACATGGGTTTATACAGACAGCGCTGTCACGTCCCATCGTTGCGCAGTCGAATCAAGAAAATTCCAGTTTTTTTTTTTTGTGATCTGGAGGCTACAGTCATTTACGAATCACCTGCTTCAACGATTTTTTTTTTTTTTTCATCACTCGTTGGTGTTTTCCGCTTCTCGTGACTGTTGGCGATAACAGAGCGTTAAAAAACTCCTCCGCTATTTTAATTATCTTATCTATATTGGTAGTTACTTTGTCTTGCTTGTCCCTTAGTGGATACATTTTATTTCTGCCTATCCCAAGTTTCCTCTTCGATCGAATCCCGGCTGCGGCGGCTGCATTTCCGATGGAGGCGGAAATGTTGTAGGCTTGTGTGCTCCGATTTGGGTGCACGTTAAAGCAACCCAGATGGTCGAAATTTCCGGAGCCCTCCACTACGGCGTCTCTCATAATCATATGGTAGTTTTGGGACGTTAAACCCCACATATCAATCAATCAATCAATCAAGTTTCCTCCTCTTCGCTTTGACGCTTCCTCTGTTCTTTGGATCACATTGAGTAAACTTCATGTTATACCTTTTTTCATCGGATACCTCACGCCTATTAATCAACTCGAAAGCTCTGCCAGTTCTATTTTGTCTGTTGCACTTGAGGCTTTCATGCTCTGACGCTTCCTAATTAGATTCTTCGTTTCCTGGGACAGCTTGCGAGTGTCCTGTCTAACTACCGTACCTCCAGCTTCCACTGCACACTCCGTAAAGATACTCGTCAGATTATCATTCATTGCGTCTACGCTAAGGTTGGTTTCCTCAATAAGAGCCGAGTGCCTGTTCTGAAGCGAGACTCTGAATTCCTGTATTTTTCCTCTCAGTGCTAGCTCATTGATTGGCTTCTTGCGTATCAGTTTCTGTCGTTCCTTCTTCAAGTCAAGGCGAATTCGAGAACGTACTATTCTATGGTCACTGCATCGTACCTTGCCAACCACTTCCACATCCTGCACGATGCCTGGGTGTGCACTCAGTATAAAGCTTACTTCCTTTTTACTTTCGTCTTTAGGGCTCCTCCAGGTCTACTAATAGTTCACTCGTTTTCGGTAGAAGGTATTCCAAATCCATAAATTATTGCGTTTTGCGAATTGTACTAATAACTACCCTCCGGCATTTCTAGTACCAACGCCATAATCCTCTACTGCCTGGTGTCCTGCCTGCTTCATTTCTACCTTGGCATTGAAGTCGCACATCAGTATAGTACATTGTGTTTGCCTTACTCATCGACGATTTCACGTCTTCATAGAAGCTCTGTATTCAGGCCGTATTTAGGCACGTAGACCTGAACTACCTTCATCTTGTAATACTTATCGAGTTCATTTTGATACCTACCACCCTTTTATTATTTCTATAGTATTACTCTATGTTATTGGCTATATTTCTGTAGCACTTTGTAGGCCTCATCTGTCTTCCTAACCTCACTAAGCCCTGTAACATCATACTTACCACCCTCTAGCTTCTCGAATACCTAGTACCACAGCAATACAAATTGATAATGTAGCTCAAAAAGAAAAAGACACGACAGACACACACAACAACACACCACAACGCTTGTGGTGTGTGGTTCTGTGTGTCCGTCGTGTCTTTTTCTTTTTGAGCTACATTATCAATTTCAGCAAGCACTAACTAGCCCAAGAGCAAGTCCTCCTGCATCACAATAGTACTTACGAATGCTGAAGCGACACCTGAGCTGACAGACCAATGAATTCACAGTGATTCAGTCTCGATTGGTGTTGGAAAGCCTTGCCCCCGTATTCACAAACGCTCCTCGACTCGACTTTCACCCTTCACTTGACAGAGTTGCGCACTGCGCCGCTGCTCGGCTGGAAAAGACGCCGTGCTACTCAAGTATAGCAGCAAATTATAACTGATATGCAGTTACTTTTCCTGCCTAGAGATGGCGCGTTCGTCGGCTTTTTCAAGTGAAGGTGGAGTGTCGAGTGAAGGCGCATTCTAGAATACGGGGGTTACTAAAATACTAATATGCCTAAACATTTCCACGTATCAGCAACATTACGCCACCAGAGACGTTCTGCGTGTGTGACTACTCTGCAGGGTACCGCGATTTTCGCTGTCAACGAGATGTACTCAAAAAGATCTGGCGTCAGAGGTTTGGTGTCTGTTACCCTGAAAGGACGCTGGAATGTGCTACACTCCAGCGACAGGGTGGACTTCTTCGAACGGTGTGTGTCAGACCCGAGCGCTGGTTCATTCGGCAGCTATACAGAGGTAAGGAAGAACGAGGTAAAATTATAACGAAAATAACGTTCAGTAGTTATTTAGCAGGGGCTTAGCCAGCCTTTCTTTTCAAGGGGGGGGGGGGGGGACAGGGTTCATTATAGTTTATGTATGCGTTTGTATGTGCGCGAGTTTCTGTACGCAAGCAAATTTGTACATTTCTGGCGGGAATAGTGGGTTGGCATCCCGCTGGTAGCGCGACTGATGTCAAGAACGTGAACGTGCTTCGTAAGATGCGCAGGACCAGCCACATAACGCCGCTGCAGTGGTACAATTATTACTGGGCTCGACTGCTATAGTCACGGCTTCGATCCCTGCCACCATGGTCGCCCCTTGGTGAAGGCGAACCGCTGCAGGCCTATGTACTTCGCTTTTGGTGCGAAAAACGCCGCAGCTGTCCTGCATTCCTGCAACCCTAAATTACTGGCCCGATGTGATTGCGATCATAATCAAGACATGGCTCTTGACGTGTGAAACACCAGGATTGTTAGGGATTATAGGCTCGAAAAACGCCGATTTACACCCCCTTTTACTACAATAAAACAATGACCGACACTAAGTTGTAAAGCGAGAGAGCTACCGCGGCAACCATGGTAAATATGCTCCTAAGCCCGACTCTGCCAATGATCGTGTATATGTCAGCATTATGATTGGTGGTAGCGCAGACAAAGAACTTGGACAAAAGAAGGCACATTCAAGGCAGAAAACACAGCGCTATATATTATTAAATGCCTTGCATATGTGTTCTTGAGTATATTACGCAGTAAACGCTCCATTTATATATATATATATATATATATATATATATATATATATATATATATATATATTTGCACCGGACCCACAGAATTTCTTTTTTTAATCATATATATATATATATATATATATATATATATATATATATATATATATATATATGTGTGTGTGTGTGTGTGTGTGTGTGTGTGTGTGTGTGTGTGCGAGGCAGTAGAAACCATTCCATTATTATCCTACATATGGTACATTAGAGCAGTGCCCGGTTAAACTTCCTGGAAGCACAACATCTTACCCAATGTTTCTGTCGTACCATTTTCCTTGTTCTCAGGTGTGCCCGAACGGCCGCTCCGACGGCAAGAGCATATATCAGCTTACTTACTCAATTGACCACGCCTCCGTGCTCTGCCACGCCCCGGGCTCCACACGCGCATTAGCCTACGACAACGAGGACGCACTGGCTGTAAAGGTAAGCGATTTGTTCCTCCACTATACCACCACCGCCATTGTCAGTGTACGTCGCACGTTCCCTGTATTGCATTTATGGTTGGCCTGTGTTTTTGATTTTGTTATAGTTCTGTCTCGCTTAAATCCGCGAGACTTTCGTCGATGTAGCGTCATTGTCAAATTTTCGCTCTTCATAACCACACATACAAACCTCACTTGACGCAGTTAAACGTCTTTTTTTCGCTATCACTGTCCCGCGTTTGAGACGAAACTGTGACGCTCTTTTCAACGTGCGCAGCTATGTTCTTCAAAAGGTGATGGATTCCCCGATTTGAAGCTCGGCGTCGCTGCGTACGACATCGACTATGACGACCATGACAACGAGTGCGCATCCCTGAACAGATTCGGCCGGCACAGCCGCCTGAAGCAGATCAAGAAGGTGTTGGACTACATGCGGCTCTATCTCGGCGAGAGCTTTAACGTGAAGGAGTGCGCAGACTACGAGGGCTGAATGAAGTTTTGTCTGAGCCACGTTCCCGTCCGATGCCGTCCCTGAATGATGCGGCCAAATTTACAGTGTGAAAATTTAAAAAAAAATGTGCAACTTCAGTGAGAGCAATGTTTACGTGGACATATTTACGTGTTGATGTTTACGTTTACGTGTGTCACAAAAGGAACTGCTACACTCGCAGATAGTTTATCTTGAAGAAAACGTGGTTATTGTACAGTGCCAATATTCATGAAAGGGAACACGCGAGCGCATGGCCTGCGCACTCCAGCGGCTGCCTGCAGCGCGTTCTAGCGGAAGCGAGAGCAATCACAGCCTCTTTTCGCGTCATCTAGTGACGAGCAAAACAATCAATCATTGGTTATCAAGGAGCTGCACGTGCACTCGTTGCTCTTTTAGCCCAGCTGTGTATGTAGTGATATGGAACTGGCGGCAAGATTTCGACCCTTCCCCATTCATGGCGATTACACAAGAGGCCTGTCTCTTGCGTAATCACATTGAAGGGGAAGGGGGTTGCAGTTTTTCTGACACTTCCATATCACCGATTACTGGTTGTCTTGCTCGCCACTATATGACGCGAAAAGCGGTTGCGGTTGCTCTCGTTCCCGCTAGAATGCGCTGCATGCAGCCGCCGAAGCGTATTGGCCACGCACTCGTGTATTCCCTTTCATAAAAAATGACAGTGTACATATATGATAGCGTACCACGTGTGAAAATCGTTGTGTTTCCGGTCATCTTCCGAAAAAGAAAGACATCGCAATCACTTAGAACTACTGATGCTTGGCTGATGCTATTTTCCTTTAAAAAGGTGGAAGGCCCCGCTCACTTCCCTTGTCAACTGATCTTTGTCACTGGAAGGTACTTGAGTTTCAGGGAACAGAGGCATGTAGTCTAGTGTGAAAAGGAGCATTGTTTCTTAGCGATTTCTCGTGTTTTGATATCTGTGTGTAATGTGACGAATTTCAAATCGTATTTTTCACATTTTGGCGACAATGGCGCCATGATAGTGCCTGAATTTTTTTATTTTGAGTTTACGTCTCTATAAGAAGACAATTTACTTTATTTTTACTGCTTAAAAATGGCGTATAGTTGCTAGTCTACGTCATGAATGTTTATAACATCATGGCGTTTTGATTGGGGCATTTTAAGGTGACGTCGCAAACCATGGTTTCTTTTTTTGCACATTTTCTCGCTTACCAACTGCTTTCTTGTGGTAAGCCTCACTTTGAAATCGTTAGAGAGTAATTTGTTAATACGAGAAAAATCATTTTCTCTCGTTAGTGTACCTTTGACTACGAGGCTGTTTAAGCTATTTGTAACTTTATTGCGGGATCAAATCCCGGCTGCAGCGGCTACATTTTCGATGGAGGCGAAAATGCTGTAGGCACACGAGCTCAGATTTGGGCGCGCGTTAAAGAACCTGAGGTGGTAGAAATTTCCGGAGCCTTCCACAGTGGTATCTCTAATAATCGTATGGTGGTTTTGGGACGTAAACCCCACAAATCAATCAGTTTTCAATCGTGCTAACTTCAAAGGTGCGCATGTGCCGTAGAAATATGCAGAGCCACTCTACCGAGTACACATGTGCGAGCGTGAAACGAAGATGCCTTTTTGGTGAAGGGAAGCACGTGAAGAACGTGACAGAGATAAAGAGAGATATAAAGAAAACATCTATATATAAAGGCAATAAGTAGTAGAGATAAATACAGAGAAAGAGGTCACAGAGACAAAAAGAATATTTCTTTAAAAGCCTAGAAAAGGCATGCAACAACCAGAGATAGAGGAACAAAAATAAAGAAATGTGGCATGCCACCTGGCTCAGCTCTTTTTTTTTTTTCTTTGTGTGTGTGTGGGAAGGGGGGGGGGGGGCTTGTTCCGACTAGTGCGAAGCTGATATTACGTTTTTTTTCCCTCGCTTTCTTTCTGACTTTTTTTCTTTAATATTTGCCTTTCTTTTAGAGTGTGTCGCATTGCGCAATTCTACCATTTTTTTTTCTTCGCCTAGAATCGTACCCACCTATCACTGCTTAGCAGCGCAACACTTCAATTTATATAAGCAATGAGGATGGTGATGCACTCACGTCTATGCAATTATCAAATGCGGCAACGTGAAATAATGATTGACTTCGATAGAAGACCAGATCTCAAAATCAGAAGCGGCTGATCGGCGACAAACCGATGATCAAGGTAGCATCTGTTGTTGGAGGAAAACAGCTCAAGAAGTACGCATGTGACCGCCCCACTTTTTAGCGCCACATTTCGGGACCCTAGAGCCGCCAACGCCTCCTCTATTTCACCTATACCGACTCGATGCAGCCATTCACCATCCTCTCCTCTAGCACTTTCCTGCTTCGCCCATTACGTAACCTTAACGTGTGATTTGCAGTCATGGGGGAAAGAGCTCATCATGCAGTACCTTACGACCGAAATCATATGTGAAGTAATTGTCATGTTCATTTGTGTACAGATCCGTGGGGCAGCGTGTTGCATTCCTCGTGTTCACAATATTGATGGTCACGCTGGCTCTGCAAGATGCGGTGTCTTGAGAAAGCATGTTGCCGTTCCTAGCGCAATATATGCGGGCCACAGATGGGGAAGCGTCATTGCAACGCCACTGCGCATGCGCTGTTATGAAATGTGCTGTGATGCAGCGGCGACATTGCTTCGAGCCACGAAGAAGGAGCAGGAAGGAACAGATCTTACAGGCTTATGACGTTGTAGAGGGACACACGTCTATGGCATCTACGGGCGAAAGCGCTCGGGATTACGTGCGAGACGCCAACAGCGCTACCCCTATTGTAGCGCTGCATCACGACTACTCCCTGAGGTAGACCGACAGCTCTTGTTGAGAAACGCGCGTTTGCTCTGGCAATGAAGAAAATAAAGGAGCTGTTGCTAGCCGGTGCCGGTTTTCGCATATGACGTCGCCATCGTGGTAACCGAACTCAGTAACTCGTAAACAAAAATCGCTTTAAAACGCGGAGCACGCTTAAGCTCGGGATTAGGCACCAAACACAATTTTTGTACGCCGTTTTGTTCGTACCCCATGCTTCATCATGAACCAGCACCGATTCGCCCAGCTTTTTCTTATACGCTTAAGTTTTCATGCTTGGATTACGTATACGCCTCGACAGTGCCATGAAAAATTGCCCGCAGCTTCCCTCGGGGGAACACTGAGGAGGATGCGGACCATATAATTGGTTAACGGGGTGTTAAAGTGCGACTTACTTGGGTCGATGGCTAAATTGGTTAACGTGGTTGTGAAATGGGGTGTTAAATTGCGACTTACTTGGGTCGATGGCTAAATTGGTTAACGTGGTTGTTGGAGGGGGTGTTAAATCAGTGAACACGTACACACGTATGCGAAAGGGCGGCGCTGGTCGAAGGGACGTCGATCATTGTGTTTGTGGATTCGTTGGAATTCATTTCACCGCGACCTTGGACGTCGACGCGCCGTACAAACCAACCGACGAGCGGCAACTGAGCGAGCGAGCGCCGACCTTGAGTATATTATACAGCACGACGGCGCATGCACTGTCAGCTGTTGAATGTTCTCGAAGCGCGACGCCACATGCGCGTCCACTGGAGAATCAGGAGAATTGTAGATGTCGAACGCGGTGTGTAGAGGAGGAAGGGATGCACAGATGGTGGAAGAGTGGGCGACGGCGCATGCGCGCGCGTCAGCTGTCGAATGTTCGAGAAGCGGTGCGGACGGCGCACTACAAGGCGCGAGTATAAGATGCTCCGCATCTAAAAAGCAATGCTTGTGCGCTTGTCATTGCCCATTGTAGGCGCTCTACAAGCGTCTGATGCATGCACGATTGCGAAGTACCTACAACACCTTAACTCGGCGTTCTTCGAAGCACCAAAAGGACCACTGCGTATCGGTAAGGCAACTCGTGCACCAACACTACGCACACTGGTAACGCCTTAGCTTTTTCACGGTGACAATTTTTATTTTCCTTACGAGCTGTCTACTGTTCTGATTCTGAAAGGGCTGTCACCTCGTCAAGCTACTCATTGCAGTTGCCTTTTTGTGAGAGCCCCTCTTTGTATTTCAAGCACAAGTAAAAGTTGAATTGGAATATTTGCGTTGGAGCTTATAAATTATGGCTGAGCTATTTCTAGCGAGTGGGAAACTATAAACCATACACTAGTTGGGCAATTCACATGGCCGAACCTTTCTTGCAATTTAAACCATAGCTGTGCAGTAGTGACAAATCATACCAGTTCTCACACCGTGTGAACTGCATAACGAGCGGGTGTCTTAAAGCTGTCTACCATTTACGAATATCTCAGTTCATGATCAGTATCAGCAGGCATGGCATCGAAAAATATCTCTGGCTCATTCACACATGATCTATGAAGCTCCAATGATGAAGCTGATGATGATAAGGTAGCCAAACCGGATGTTTACGCCCTTGTGTCGTTTTAGAATAAAACAGAAAAGGATCCTGTGACTTGTTCTTAAAGTACTACCAATTTTCTGGCCCCGTACTGCTCTTCGTGTATACGTGCGAAAATCATGAACAGAAGCGTCAGGACGAGCATAACTATCAGCATCATCACTCTACTACTCGTGCATTCCCGGGTGATCTGTCGTCTCCGAACGCGCAAATCGTTTTCCAGGCGGATCTTGCTGCTCAAACGGTTTTCCTGTTTTGAATCGGTGAGTGGATCTTCGGTGCAAAGTGCAGCGAAAGAACCTAGTGTTTTTCTTGAGTGCGTAAAAACTGGTGCGTAAAACGGGGGGGTCTCTTTCCTCCTAGGAGGGAGTGCGAAGTGTGTCCCGTACTTTCACTCAGCAAAGATCTGTCTTGGTACTGCTTAAACATCAGGGTTATGGCTACGCAAGCTTTCGGCAATAATTGTGGCTAAAGGTCCCTGAGGTTGCATTCACAGAACTGTTTACTTCACAACTTCACTCCAGAAAATCCACAGACCTAAGACAGGCCCTAATGTGAGAAGCGTGTCATCGCTTATTTTTGTTGACTTTTATTCATCCATTGTGAATATTGTTCTCCTTTCAGCTTCATGAGCGGTGGATGCGAGCACGCTACGCTACAACTTTGCATCCCCCTCTCCTAGTAATGCCCCCTCGCATGCCGATGGTCGGAGACCAAGTCCCTAGATTTTTTTCCACTTTTACCTGATTTCAATGATTGAAACGTGAGGTTTGATGTCCCGAAACCATCATAAGATTATGAGAAACGCCGTAGCAGAAGGCTCCGGAAATTTCAGCCACCCGCGTTTCTTTAACGTCCACCCAAATCTGAGCACACGGGCCTACAGCTTTTTCACCTCCATCGAAAATGCAGCCGCCGCAGCCGGGATTCGATTCCGCGACCCGCGGGTCAGCAGCCAAGTACCTTAGCCACTGGGTCAACGTGACGGGACTCCCTTTTACCGAAGTACCAATCACCTTCACTCTCAACCACCACTCACGGACAACCAGCATCTGCCGCCACGTTGTCCATCCTAACGTAGAAGATTTAAAAAGCCATAAGGTACAGCTTGAGACGTCCGTATAGACTCTGCCCTGACGGCCGAAGAAATAATCTGGCTCATGCAATGTTCTCCGAAGGCGCCATGGCCAGCGACAGTCGGGATCATGACGTCAGTCCGAAGTGCGCGCCCGTTGGCGCAGACTTATGTGCATCACCCTTCAAGGAGGAAATGCCACGGACTTCTTCAAGGGACACTAAACAGAAACAATCAGTTGTTTTAGATCGATAAACTGCACTCTGATAACTCTGATATCATACGTTTCGCTGTCATAAGTTCATTATTAGCGGAGAAATTGAAGGTTGTTCTATATTTTTTTTATTATCGGGCCTGAATCTCCACGCGTGACGCAAGAAATTCCACGATGTATTTTTCGTATTCTCGCGGCATTGGTCCGATGAAATTTTCTCAGACTTGGTATGCCAAGTCTATGGCACCCACGGATCACAATTCAATTTATCTATTCCTTGAATTTTAGGAATTACAAGTCACGTAGGACCCAGTAGACACCTTCAAACATTGATGACGTCACAGTGTATGATGCGAGAACTTCAAGGGGACGTCTTTACCCGCAGCTTTTTTTATTCGTTTTTTCTCACTTACCAAGTGTCGTGTCGCGGTAAGAGTGGTGTTTTTGGGATTGTCGAATTGTAATTTAATGCACGAAAAAGCGTTTTCGTATTTAGTGTTCCATTAAGTTGTATCGAACTATAGAGGATTTTCAAAGTAGCGTATGCCTAAGTACATTAGCTTCGGACCTTTCAGCTGAGAATTCGACCGTTACACGCATTTCTCTTCCCACTAATGAGTCTTCATTAGTGCGCTGCACGTTTTTTCGGCAGGCGCTGGTAAAGTGTTACAAAAGCATCACCTCCGGAAACGAGCGTTAGCCATTGAGATTCGTCGAGCGTGCTTCAATAGAGGTCACTGCTTAATAAGGAAGAGGAAAAATTCTGATGGCTCTAGTGGGGGAGAGTAACACGCTGCTAACTTTTCATTTCAGGTGGCCAGTTAAGTTGCCAGCATGCTGTTCGAGCAATCAGTGGCCCACGACCCGGCCTTCGAGCCAGCAGCTGTAGCACAACCGCCGGTTGTAGCACCTGTGGCACCTGTCAAGCTGGTAGCGGTCGCAGCCGGTACGTAAATGAAACCTTGGTGTGAACCATATCAATCCCTAGTACTAAATTGCGGAAGCAAAATAGAAAAAAAAATAGGCAGATCCCACTTACCTTGGGAATAGACGTTGTGCGAAGCATGCTGAGAAAAGGGGAGCGTGTCGCAATTTTTTAATTGAGTGACACGTCATGAAATAACGCTAAATATATGTTTAAACGTCACACGCACAAACATATGTTGAAGAGTTGCGGATGCTTATATAACCAGTTGTTTGCACTTGCGCAACGATGCCAACAAGAACATGTGTATCAGCAACACCAGAAGTTGATATGAAGCACTGATGTTCGCGAAGATACTGGCCCTGGACGCTGCTACATAAATCAACCTCAGCGTATGGCACCTAATTGACGTTAACCCGACGGGGTGGCTGTATCAAAGGTGTACATATGTAATGTTTGTAAATTTAGATAGGCAGCATTTCAACCACTATTGATGTTTAACGAAAATTAGCGTCCATTTGCAAAGTATCTCTGAGACCTGGTGCAGCTCTGCGGTATAGAATGCTTCATAGCCACGCCGAATGCTTGGGTTTGATCCAAGCTGGGACGCTGACATTCATTCTTTTCTTTCTTCGGGCTGATGGTACCCATGTCAGGTAACGCTCATGCGTTAAAACTTCCCCTGTGTATCCTCGTCGTTCCTCAGTAGATATTAAGTGTCAATCGCCTGGGATGCACACACGCATATCAGTGGCACATGCACACCCGTGGGTATGTGCCACTGAAGTGTTTGACGACGTACACGACGGGATTGTGACATTATTCCTGTTTTGACCGACACGTCATATTCGTCAAACCAATTTACCCTCCCATGCTATTTTCGGTTCACGCCAAGTTAAGGGGGCGAACACGAGAGCAGTCAAACGTAAGCGGCTAGATAGATAGATAGATAGATAGATAGATAGATAGATAGATAGATAGATAGATAGATAGATAGATAGATAGATAGATAGATAGATAGATAGATAGATAGATAGATAGATAGATAGATAGATAGATAGATAGATAGATAGATAGATAGATAGATAGATAGATAGATAGATAGATAGATAGATAGATAGATAGATAGATAGATAGATAGATAGATAGATAGATAGATAGATAGATAGATAGATAGATAGATAGATAGATAGATAGATAGATAGATAGATAGATAGATAGATAGATAGATAGATAGATAGATAGATAGATAGATAGATAGATAGATAGATAGATAGATAGATAGATAGATAGATAGATAGATAGATAGATAGATAGATAGATAGATAGATAGATAGATAGATAGATAGATAGATAGATAGATAGATAGATAGATAGATAGAGATAGATAGATAGATAGATAGATAGATAGATAGATAGATAGATAGATAGATAGATAGATAGATAGATAGATAGATAGATAGATAGATACGCTCAATGTCGCCGAAGTTCGTTAAGAACTCTTTCGCGTTTAAAACATAGCATAACAGTGGCCCAGAAATAGAGGTCAAATCGGCACCAGGTAGCCGAACCTGATAACCCCGGCCAGTCGCCATTAATGAAAAGGGGCTGAGCCATTCGGGCAGTATATGCATATATACCTTAATATACTGGGCACAGTCGCGAGCTCCCTATCGTCACAAGGATCAGAATACGGCTCATACCTTTGTGCCGGCTACGTTTTCGCAGTCCATTTGCTTTGAAACGATAGCACGTAGGATGCTTCACTCGCGACAGCGGCCGTGCTTCCTTGGGCCTAAGCTTCAATGAGATGAGCCAGGATGGATGCTAAAAAAAGTTTGCTCATAGCTTTACTCCGTATGACATTCCATCGCGTTGCTATCGCAATCATTGCTTCACTCAAGCTGCGCATCTGCAACATTCTTTTTCCCTGCATGTCTTCCTGCAGAAGAGAAAGAGAACAAGCTCCCGTAAGTACACCGCCCTTCCCACAAGCACATACTGCGAATAATTTCATGTGCTCACATGTATTTTTTCGTGTATTTGGTAGGGTAAATTGCCCATGCAGCAAGTGCAACGTTGACGTCACTCTTTTTCTTCTGTGTTTCTGATTTGTTACTGCTTTGAGCAGTTATGGTATTTTTGCGCGTTACTCACCTGCTACAGCCTCAATATAGACTGGCAATACTGCAAATAAATAAATTAGTAAACAAATAAATGACTAAAATAAATGAATAAACATAGTTCTTCGGACAATATGTTTACCATTATGCACCGGGTAATTTCATCCTTCGATGCTGAACTGATGCTTCCTGGATGCTTGCAGCCTTCACTTTTTCATTGATAAGGATGTTTACACATTTTATAGCCCTTCCTAATATGAGTATCTTTTATTTTTTATTTATTGTACCCTCAAGGCATACAGCATTATAGAGGGGAGTGGGTTTAGAAGACAAAAAATACAATTGAAACGTGAAAAACAAATCACCTTCAGTACATACGTACAACACTCGAGAACAACGTGTAAATGACAACGCTTACACAATATCTAAAAAAAAAGGAAGCACCGCGACAAAGCAAACAAGGAATCAAAAAATCAAACAAGGAAACACCGCGACAAAAAAAATACCGTAATGACGATCTAACACACAAAGAAAATACCGAGAAAAAAAATATTACAACATGGCACAACGAATCTGCGATACACAAATGAACGGTAACCGAACAGCAGCAAACAAAACAAATGTGCGTCGCCTGATTTGTGAAGGGGTACCAACCGGCCTGTTTTCCAATCTTTAGGCAAGTAACCGTCATCGAAACATTTAGTGTAAAGGCAATATAATATAATCGACATATACTCTTTAGTATTCTTCAGAAATTTTGAATTAATACCGTCAGGGCCACATGAAGAAGACAGTTTCAGGTTACTGATGACGCCAGAAATTCCAGTTCGATCGAAAACTATAGGGTCCATTGGGAAAAAATTTACACACTGAAGATCAGGAAAATTATCTACAACCGGGTTACAAAAAGACCTGGCGAAGCTATTATTTAACAGCGATGCGCAGAGATGGCTAGAAACTGGTACACCGCGATTATCAACCAGGATTATTGTGGTGTCGTTTTTAGGCTTCATTATGCTCCAGAAACGCTTAGGATTTGTCTTTAACAGTAACGGTAGAGTTGACTGAAAAAAGGTACGTTTTGCAGTTTGAAGGGCCTTGGTGTAAGATGCGGCTGCTAATTTGTAGGCTGACCAGCGTTGCGGCCCAGTAGATTTCTTGGCAGTACGATAGAGCCTGGCTTTCTTGTTAGACAATCGTTTCAAATAACGGGTAAACCAGGGAGCATTAGTATTACTATAAACGCGCCGCAACGGTATATGTTTGTTGATTAATTGATAGACCTGTTGTTTGAGGGAATTTCATATGTAATCGACGCTTAGTTCTCTATAACGTGGCAGTAAGCTATAGAGAAAAATACAAAGCCCCGTATTAATAGCTTCGAAGTTGGCTCTATTGTAGTCCCTGATGCTTTTTATGCGCTTCTGTTTTCTTGTGGCAGGAAGGGAAAGAGCGAACTGCAATACATCATGGTCGCTCAAGCTGGGGATGTGTGTTATTGACGAAATAATATTTGGGGCAGATGACAGGACGAGATCAAGCAAAGACGATGATTTCGGTGTTACACGGGTTGGCTGATCGACAAGCTGGGATAAGTTAAAAAGGGAGCAAACGTCGAGAAACGATGATGCATCAGCAGATGCAGGTTCGACTAAAGGAGTGGAGTGCAGCCATTCAATATTGGGATAACTAAAGTCACCAACCAAAACAATTTCTACTCCGGGATATCATACCACAATTTGATTCAAACTATCGTGAAGACCTTCACAAAAACCGGTAGCAAAGGATGGAGACCGATAAGCGGCGCCAAGAATAATCTTCTTATAATTGAACGTTAAGCAGCACCAGATAATTTCAAGGTCTGTAGTTACAGAGACAGCGAAAGATTTTAGCTGGTCACTGATTGCGATTAGTACACCACCACCTGTCCTGTCACTGCGATCACGTCGATATACCACAAAATTTTTGTCACACTGAAATAACTCATCCACCGATATTTTGCTCGTGAGCCAAGTCTCCGTCAGTACGACGATATCGGCTTCAGAATCATTGATTAATGCGTTAAGTCTATCCTTCTTTTGATATAGGCTGCGGATGTTAGTATACAGAACAGAAACATTGCGCGTACAGCCACTACCCCTCACACTATCCTAGCTACCGTTGGGCTGACTATACACACGTCCCGAACGCGTCGACCTCGGTGATGTAGAGCCAGACGGAACATCCGGAGAGGCAACCGCAGGAAGAGAGGAAACAACTGCACTAACTTCAAGAACAGAATCTGCATCTGCACAGTACCGGTAGTGTTTCCCGTCTGCAATAAGCTTGTTGTGGCGCAGTTTGTACGAAGTTTTCAAGCCTTTGCCGAAGTCAAGCAGCTTTTTACGTGCAATGCGCGTAGAAAGAGAGAAATTTTCTCTTATGTTAAAATCTGTGTTAGTTAGCAAGTATCTTTTTGCTTGAATCAGTTCTTTAGTTTTGAAAGAAGAAAATTTAACTACAATGGGACGGTTTTTGTCAACTGAATACTGGCCTATCCGATGCGCACGCGCAATGTCGGTTGCAGGAATTTGCAGCTGCAGTATCTCAGAAGAAAACGAGATAATCTGGCCTTCAGATTCCTGCCAGCTTTCTTTAGGACTGTCTTTAATTCCGAAAAACAGCAAGTTATCTCGCCTCGATCGATCTTCTGCCTCATCAAGCTTTGCGCGTAACATGGTTATTTCTTCACGCAGACGGCACCTTGGAACATCAGCACCAGCCTGGTCTAGCTGGCAGAGCTCAAGACTAGCAGCCTGCTTTTCAACAGCTTCTAGGCGGGTGCTGATATTCGCAACAGTAGATACCATCTATTCATGGCCACGTTTTAGTTCGTCAATCGCCTTTGCCATGCTGGATTGATTAGACTCAATCCTTATACAGCGCTCGTTGGTTTCCTTAACTAATTTCAGTAATTCGTCTGGCATCCCGGGATTTTGCGCGATGTCCCCGCATATCACCAAAAACAATGCACAAAAAGGTTCAAGAACGGCTCCTGGGCATGGAACCACGACAATAAAACGGTTGTCAGACTTGTAGGATTTACAGGTCAGAAAGGAAGGATGACTGACCTGCGCAACGAACAAGAGGCGTAAGAACATCGCTCCGGCCGTGCTTCCATGCCAACTGGCAAGGTGGTCCGTGGGACGCCCTTTTGTATGGCTTGACGGGGGGTGGAGCAATGACGTAGATGCTGGTAGGCTGAGTCCGAGAGTATCTTGCGATAGCTTCGTTGTGGCAGAGCTGGTTGCGTTCCGTGATGATAGCAGGCTCGAGATACCGGTGGGACAGCGAAACAAGTCCGCCATAACCGGGTTGCTACTCGAGGCAGCAGTACAGGACTGCGACACGGGGACGGCGCTCAGCCAAGGGCAAACCGTGACGATCTGCGCAACGAACAAGAGGCGTAAGAACATCGCTCCGGCCGTGCTTCCACGCCCAATATTTTGATTTGTTAAATGAATATCGTAAGCTTGTTTGTTACAGACACGGTACATTCTTATTTCTGTAAAATGCTTTACCATGTAGTTCCTAATGCTGTTATAATGTGAACAGATACCGACATGCTTAAAGGTAAGTCATGTTAAGTGAACTAATCTAATCAAAATGTTGAGAACAAAAGCCGACAAAGCCATTCGGCAGTGATAAAATTTTGTAGCGCTTTCCTTAGCTTGTCTTTTTCGGCTCGCGGTACTTCGTGTTGCCTCTCTGAGTATTAACCCCGAATGTACTTACGGCACTTTTGTTTGTTTCATGCAGAAACAATATGTGGCTGGCAACAGTGTTGCTGTGCACGATAGTCTGCCTCCTCGTCGCCATGTCCGTGGCGGCCGTGATCCTCATAGGAAGCCTTGGTGAGCAACTCTTTCTCACACCTGAAAATTTATGTATGCCACTGATTATTAAGCGCCACCTTTTCAAGCCTCACACCTAATATGCCATGCTCTATGAACACGTAATCTGTCATTCTGCCAAGATCAATAATATAATAATAATAATAATAATAATAATAATAATAATAATAATAATAATAATAATAATAATAATAATAATAATAATAATAATAATTAGTGTCACACGTTCGAAAACCATATAGATATGATTATTAGAGACGCTGCCATGATTGAGGCCCGAGGTTTCGGTCAAAAGCAACGGTGGATGGTTTTTTTTTATGAAGAGCCTTTTTTTATTTATTTATGCACACTGTTAGGATACACGACAAAGCATGGAGGACAAAGTCAGGCGCTACTTTCAGAAATCAACACCGAGGAAAAAATTTCACAAATGGAACCAAGCCAAAAAAGCGCAAGTGGAATTCTAAGATTCAATGACCACAATAATCACAACTCGGCGGAACATAGGGGAGCAAGAAAGTGCGCTTCCACAGCTCAATTCAAGATTGATAACCTAAAGAAACTCAGGGTACACCTCTGTGCTTAAAATTAGAAGCCCATTAGAGAGGCTAAGGAGAAAAATGATTGTTTTGATATAAGCAAATTTGTTTTTTTTTTTTTTTGGGGGGGGGGGGGGATTACGAAATCACCACGCTCGGCGCGAAGAGACGCTTGATAAACGAAAAAAAAAAACGTGTCACATTAAATTGTGGGAAAGTCATGACGTCAATAAATACGGTGAGACATGACGTCATAGTTTGACACCGTCGACGCACCGAACCCGTCAGCACATTCCCAGCGTAACGAGAAAGAAAGTGGGCGAAATGTGCAGTGACAGGACTCTTAAACTTAACAAGTCTGAACTTGCGTATGAATGTGTTTAGAGAAACTCAGCAGCGAAAGTGCAATGGTAGCAATAGCAAAAATATTATTAGCTTTCATGGGCAACCTATTGAACACGTTACGTCTCTCAAATTCTTCAGTGTCTTCTTTCACGAATATTTAGATTGGTCTGTGCCTATAAATTACGAAAAAAATCTCTCCAGCAGTTGGTATACTATGCACGCTACGCTGCTTATTACGAGTATGGCTAAAAAGACAGATTTATTACGCAACAAAACATTCACACTTTCCTATTGTTTTTTTATATGGGGAACAACGGCAAAAACTAACCTCAACTATTTATATCGATCGCAAAAACGAGCAGTGCGATTAATTGAACTCCTACTGTTTCTATCGCACACAGCCGCCCCCTCCCCCCTTTTTTTTGAGAAGCATGAAATGCTAGTCATTAATATTATCGGATATGAAAACTTAGGGATGATCGTAAATTGTGAAGTTAAATGTAATCGAACTGAATTTCTGATGAAGTTTCACGAGTGGGACCACAGTCATAATTTACGACACATCAGCCTCAAGAAAGATACGTTTCGTACTAACTACGATAGACAAAAGCTAACTTACCGAATTCCCCACTTCCTTAATGAACACCCCACTGTGATGACATTAATTCAACAAAGTTGCTCCATTTATGTCACCAAAAAGAAGATACACGCATTCCTCCTAAAAACTCAGACTTTCATACTTCTTCCGATTCATCTGCTTATTTTGTGTAACTTGCTAATGAGGATGATACCTGTATTTTTTATTATTTTTTGTATCTTGGCTGCCATAGTTGTGCATAAATAGTCTCTGATTATCTTTTATGTGCTAATCATCATTATGTACATGATTATCTTTTGTGCTAATCATCATTATGTACATTTTTGTCAAATGGCTTGATGTCAGAAAAAAATTGTTAATGTTTAATGCTATTGTATACATTAAATTTCGTTCTGCTGTATATTCTTTCCGCTTATGTATGTGTGCACACCGGAGGTTGGCGCTTTATCACGCTTTCTTTGCCTTTACGCCAATCCCCTAGGCTAGGCAACTGTGTATGCGGGTTGTCTGAAATAAATAAAATTCAAATTCAAATCTTCGAAACGCATCAGGCGGGCGGTCGCGTTAAACCTAATTCAAAGACTTACGTGATTAAAGTTCATGCATGGCCTCCGAGATGCACATCCAGAAGCAGATCTCTGGGGCGTAACATATTCGTTGTGGCGAAACATATTTGGTATTTCTCATTTGTGTAGACAGTTGATAAAGCTGCATGGCGTTGAAAATGACGCTGCGGAAGAAATACCGGCAACAGGCGCGCTCTGCTCGCCGAGCTCCAGTTAATCAGTGGAGGGCGCAAAGAACATGTGCACCAAGTGGACACCGCGAGGATAGTTCCCCTGCACTCGGCACGCACGTCGCCAGACGCAGACGTGGGGAGACCGACGAAGGCTCGCACTGTCGAAGAGGTGGTTGCTTACTTTAACGCGTGAGCGTTAAAAAAAAAAGCTGACAACGGCAGCATTGACCCGACAAATTCGAAAAAATAGGGTCCCAGCAGAAATTGAACCCTGCTGCGTGGTCATCAAGTATTCTACCACAGACACGCCAGGTCTCGGAACTACTTTTCAAATACATCCTAATGTTTGTGGAGTGTCAATTGTGCTGGCAGTGCCGGGCTACCCAATTTTATAGCCGTTACATATCCACTCATCTGATATACAGTTGTCACGTCGGGTTTAAGGGTCAGTCAACAGGCTCCGAAACGCGCAGAAAAAGCTGGCACATTTTTCCTACGCATGACCAACCTCCTTCCACGTGCAGTGACGTCTACTCGGTGACGTTGACTTCATTACTGTTCGCTGAAACCTGGTTTGGACCAATTGACGAGCTACGTGCTGCGTGACGTCACCGATCGCCGAGTTGACGTCACAGCGCGTGGAAGGAGGTTGGTCACGCGCAGGAAAAATGCGCAAGCTTTTCCTGCGCGTTTCGGAGCCTGTTGACTGCAGGTGCCGCCTGCTGAAGTGTTTTATGCGGCAGTGTCTGAGGCTTTCATACTCGCGAGCACTGTCACTTCATATCAGCTTACTGCTGTTAGTGTTACTAATGTGAATGTTGCTGTAGGCATTGTTCCTGAAAACATATGCTGCTATTGAACATCTGTGCGTGCATTTGTGCATATCTATAGTACCACTTCGTAATGTTTCGCTCAATAAAAACATTACAACACGCTCACCTTCCATCCGCATGCTTCACGTAACATCGGTTGCAAATGTGTGCGGGATCTGCCAATTTTTTTTTTCGTAACCTTTAAACACCATTTCAACATGAAATTCCCACTGAGATTACTGAAATCATGTTTGAATTTGTCGCCATAATTCGCAATCTTTTCATTTCCACCATGATCTAGCCACGCGTTCCGGCCAATTTACGGTCATTTGCATTAATAAGAAAATCATCCCGGCTACGGCGGCTGCATTTCCGATGGAGGCGGAAATGTTGTAGGCCCGTGTGCTCGGATTTGGGTTCACGTTAAAGAACCCCAGGTGGACGAAATTTCCGAAGCCCTCCACTACGGCGTCTCTCATAATCAAATGGTGGTTTTGGGACATTAAACCCCACATATCAATCAATCAATGCATTAAAAAAATCAATAATGTCTAGAGTTTGTCTTACAGTTTTCGTTCGTTATCCGAGTTAATGCTGAGACAGGTAAACAGTGAAGTCATTCGTGTCCACAGGTGGTAGAGAGCAGCCCACGGACGCGGTCATCAGCGATAAGTCAAGTAGCAAACGTGGTGGCCCAGTTTTAACTCAAAGCGTCGAAATTGTCATCAACCGACCCGACCAAGGCCCGACAACTTCAGGACAGCGGACGCCACCTCCTCCCACACCAATGACACCGACGGTACCACCAACACCGACGACATCCAGAGCGCCTTACGTGCCACCTGATGCCCCTGAAGGAAGCAAGTCACTTTGTATTTAAGTGAATGTCTGATTGCACTGTGATGATAGAGTACGGCTAAAACGTTCTTCAATACATTTCTAAAACACTTTTGTGTACGTCGCTATTGTAACAGGTAAATAGGGGTTCGACGTACAAAAAGCCACACTTATAGCACTAGTGTGAACAATCACTTCAAATTGTGACACAGTATATTTACAACCTTGCTAAAAGACCCTACTACACACTATAGTGTTTAACTCTCTATTTTCAAAGGGCCCTACATTAGAGCACACACTTAGCAAATGAGTTCTGCGGAGAGCCGCAAGGTTCGTTATTGCCATAAATTTTCCTTTCGTGTAATAGTATTTTATTGCTACCACATTTTGATTCATCTCGC